CTTCTCGATCTCCGATGTCATCACATCATCTCCGATCATCGCTTTCCCTCATATCTGAACCTGAGCTCTGATATCAGTTGTTGTGAAAAATAACGACAATAAAACAAAAAATTAGATCGAGAAAAAAATCAGTCAGATCGAGAAAAAATCAGAAAATAGAAAAGAACAGCAGAAACACAGATTTACGTGGTTAGACAAATTGCTTACGTCCACGGAGCTGCAAAGGATTTCATTAACTTGAGGATTACACCCGTCGATCGCATTAACGATTACAAGAAAGAACAATATTTCTCTCTCTCCTCTCTCCTCTTGAGAGCAACAGCCGAAGAAAAAGCCTCGGAAACCAAATCTCTAGAGAGATAATAAGGGGAGCTAGCCTGCCTATTTATTAATTTCATCATATCATTAAACCCATTAAGGAATTAATCAAATAATTAATAAAGCCCATTAATTATTTTCTTTTATCTTTTGCAACAAATCATAGAAGAAATTAAAAGCAATTAATTTAGCAATTAATTTCAAGTATCAAATCCATTTTGCTGTCAAACATGAGAAAATGTCAATTTGAACAGTGGACTGGTTTCCATTCGCAACATATATTTGATGTTATCGAATTTGAACATTCATCTACTATAGTCCATGTTTATGCATAAAACTGATGCTAGAGTTAACCCAAACTACAACGCAATACACAAATTTTATTAGTAACTCAAAACAAGATTATAATGAAGACTCAAAAATAAAGATAGGACATCAAATAAAACAAAACTGTAAAATAAATGACCACAAATATGTACTCAACAAAGAAGACACAACAAGCTAACGAGGAAGTCCAGAGCGGTGGTGCTAGGTCGGAGGCTGTAGTGAAGGCCGGTGAGGGAGTAGTACAGCAAAGTGGCGTCGAGCCACAACTAGAAGAGGTTAGAGGCATTGTCGAAGGCTGGAATCCAGAGCGGCAGCAGCTGGTGACCTGCAGGAATCGGGGAAGATGCGGCCTGCGGGGCCAGGCTGGCGCACGATGCCTGTGGGGGGCAGGGAAGATGTGGTCTACGGGGGCACGGGACTGGGAGGAAGTAAGGCCGCAGAAGCCGAGGAGCGGAGGCTGAGAGGCAGTGGACTGCAGAAAGGCTGTCTGCAGCGCTGGAATCGCCGGATGGAAGGTGGCAGCAACTAGGAAGTTGCCGGTTTGCTGGAAGGAAGGGCGACAGCTCTCTCGAAGGCAAACCAAAGATCTTTGGTCTGCTGGAAGACGAGGACAACAACTGGAATCACAAGCCAGCAGAAGCGGGGACTTGTTGGCTGTAGCAAGGAGCTGGTGTGGCGTGTTGTAGGAGGGCAGGGAACAGTTTTGTGGTAGGCAGACGGCAGGTACGCTGCAAGACTGCAGTAATCTGCAGCTGGGAGGACAGCAGAGGGCTGGCAATATAAATATGAAAGTTTAGGTATCTGTAATTGAACTAATCCTTTCTGATAGAGATTGAAAGTATGATTGCATGTTAAATTGAACTAATCCTTTTTAATATTATTGATGATCTAATCGAGCACACTAAACATGTAAGTTTTGATAAATTATCTATTGATTTTAATCCTATGATGAGTGATCAAACTCATGTTGAGTTTGTATTTGATTTTTAGTTTATTGATAAACTAATTCATAAAAAGAATGCTATTTTGTGGAGAGTTAAGTTATGTTAATATTTCTAAATTTTTTAGGGGGGCTTAAATGCATACCACACAGTTGTTATAGATTTACATGGCTAACACCTAAACTTTGATATTTTCTTTTATAACACTTTCTTGTCTTAAATCTATGCATGAAGAGATGCTTTTCACTTTTAAAAAGTTAGTCATAGTGATATTTTTGATGTGATATTCAACACTTAAGTGTTATGAATATAAACATGAAAGTTTAGGTATCTGTAAATTCATAAAAATTTTGTGGTATATATTTAAATGCTCCTTTTTTTTAATAATGATTGTTTTAAAGGAAATATGGAATTTAAAACTTTATAAATCTTGTCAAATTAAAAGTGCATAATTTATCACGATTAAATTTTATAGCATTTGAATTAAGCTTTCTTTGAATTTATAATAGAAGGATAATTAGATATAATCATATTAGATTTTGCTTTAGCATATGATTTTGTTATTATTAATATTTTATTTAAGGAAAAAAGATGAGCATATTATTACTTAAATGAATGTGTCTAATAAAACATTAATTAATTATTTTTTTATGAGAAAAAGAGATTGTTGAGAATGTAAAGATTATAAGGTCATTCTAAGTGAAAGTTTAAGTAATCAACATCGATTATTAGTTTTGAATTTTATTATAATGAGTTGGAAGATAAAAAATGCAATAAAATATTGTCATATAATTAAATGGAGCATCTAAAATATACAAATAAAATTATTTTTATCAATAAACTTCAAGATTTCAATATTTTTGATATTCATAAAGAAGTTAATTCTATGTGAGATAAAATAACAAGCACTATTAAACAAGTGTCGAAATATGTACTTGAAGAATTAAAAGGGAAAAAAAATAACAAGCACTATTAAACAAGTGTTGAAATATGTACTTGAAGAATTAAAAGGGAAAAAAAATTATAAATAAAATTAGTTGATGGTGGAAGAATAATGTGCAAGAAAAGATAAATTATATGAAGTTTTATTATAAAAATTGGTTTAAATATAAAAGCTTAGAGAACTGAGAAAAATATAAGGTGATTTGTACAGAGTCTAAGAAAACATATTGCGATGCTAAGACTTCTACTTTTAGTGATCTTTATAAAAAATTGAATACTAAAAATGGTGAAATATATATTTAAACTAGCCAAGTAATAATAAAAAAAGTAAAGATTTAATTCAAGTAAAACGTATTAAAGATGAAAATTAAAAAAATGTTTTTCTTAGAAGAAGATATTCAACATAGGTTGGCGAAATATTTTCATTATCTTTTCAATGCAGATGTTGAGAATACAATCGATTTTAATGATCTTAATATCATTAATAATAAAAAAAACTTATCGCATTAGTAAAAAAAATGTTGAAATGACTTTAAAGAAAACGATGGGTGAAAAATCAGCAGGACCTGATAATATCCCATAGCGTGAAAATATTTAGGAGATTTAGGAGTTCCTTGGCTTACTAATTTTTTTTAATATTATTTTAAAAACTAAAATAATGTTTGAGGAGTGGAGAAAGAGCATTTGGTTCTCAGTTTTAAGAATAAAGGGGATGCATAAAAGTGTACAAACTATGGATGAATTAAGTTAATGTGTCATACGTTAAAATTATGGGAGAGAGTAATTGAACATAAGTTTAAACGTGTTACAAAGATTTCTCATAATCAATTTGGATTTATGCTAGACAAGTCTACTTTGGAAGCTATGAATTTATTGAGAGGTCAAATGGAGAAGTATTGAGAGTGTAAGGAGAATCTACATATGATTTTTATTGATTTAGGAAAAGCTTTCAATAAGGTTCCAAGAAAAGTTTTTTGGAGAGTTCTAGAAAAGAAAGGTGTTGATGTGACTTATATTCAAGTCATTAAAGATATGTATACTAAGAGTTGTTACTTGTGTTCTGATAGGAGGAGGATTGACCAAGTATTTTCCTCTTTCAGTTGGATTACATTAGGGATCGGCTTTAAGCCCATATCTCTTTGCTTTAGTTTTGGATGCTCTTACTGGACATTTGCAAGAGGATGTAACTTGGTGGATGTTTTTCGTTGATGATATCTTTCTTGTGGATAAGACTAGAGAAAGAGTTAGGAAAAACTTGAAATATGGAGATCTACATTAGAGCCTAACGGCCTTCGTTTGAGTAGATTTAAAACTACATATATGGATTGTAGTTTCACTAATAGTAGATCTAGTGGTAGAGTTGTATCAATGAGTGATCAAATCATTAAAAGGTGTGAACGTTTTAGATACTTGGGGTCTATTGTTGAAAGTGATGGTGCTATAGATGGAAATGTTATTAGTAGAATTCAAGTTGGAGGGTTGAGGTGGAGGTATGCTTTGGACATATTGTGTGATAGAAATGTATTGCTTAGACTTAAAGGAAAATTTGATAAGATGGTGGTGAAACCTGCAATGCTTTATGGTGCAGAATTTGGCCTTTAAAAGAGAAGCATATAGACCAAGTTAATTGTTACCGAGATGAGGATGCTTAGATGAAAAATGCTAAATAAATGTATCCGTGAAAAGGTTAGTGTAGCTCCAGTGGCAGACAAGATTACAGAGAGCCGCCTTACATGGTTTGCTCGCATTAAATGTAGGCTACCTGATGATCCGGTTAGGAGAGTAGATGTGTTAGATTCTACTTATATTAAAAATGTAGGGTTTAAGGATGGATTTATACCTCATTTCTAACATGCTATATTTTTAGGCGGTCGTCGTTTAATGATGGATTTAAGGATGAATTTATGGTGGTGTTTGATCACATTAAATGTCGACTGCCTAGAAATGTTGAATTTTTTATACATATCCTTTAGAATTTCATCAGTTTCAACTTATGACATGAATCCAACATTTTACGATTAACTCAAGGCATGTAGACCTTTCTTTAATTATTTGTCCTTCAATAGAAAAGCCTGAAGAATTTGACGTCTCTAGGTAAATGTGGATATTACAGGAACTGTTTATATAAGAGATCAGAAATCTTCTTTTTTATTCAAATCACCTTTTTCTCGGAAAAAAAAGTGAGGAGACCTTGCACTGTCAACTAGGAGAGAGAGGTGATTCACTGTCAACTAAGTAATTTTATGAGATGAAAATTGAAGAAATCTTAAGGTTACAGCTTTTGCAAGGAGCGATTTTTGTGATTTTACTGAGGTTTATGGTAAATACCATTTATATTTTAATACCTTGAAAGGGATTCTTTTGTTGTAACTACTTTTTTTTACATTGTATATCGGTTAAGATTAACTTTTAAAATTTTAATTAACTAAACCACCTTTTTAACGAACCTACTTCCACAATTGATTTTCTTAGTCACCAGAAGATTGTGCTGTATCAATATCAAACATAATTCGCCACCACGAAGCAGAGAATATGGCATCTCTTGAGGTTAATATTTATTTGGAGTATTACATCCATACCACTCAATTCCTATGTTGTTACATATCTAACATCTAAATTTTACTTTTTATATTAATACCGCCCAAATCTTTCATAACACATAAAAAATACCACCATTTTAACTTTTAAAAAGTGATACATTTTTTCATGCATGGGTAAAATGGTGTGTATGTTAAAATTGAAGTTTAGGTGTTAGATATATAAATACATATGAATTGAGTGGTTTGTGGGTAAATCTTCTATTTGTTTTTTACTTTGTCTCATGGCGTATGTGTCATCCAGAGATTCTAAGCTTGTTTCTTCAAATATTCACAGGAATCTTATTTGCATTTGCCGGACACAACTTTCAAGGTATTTTTTCTTTTTTTTTCGTGTTATGGAATTAGTTTGTTTATTAACTGCCTTTAATCTTGCTCAGCTTATCAAACCAAATGAAAAATGTTCATAAGCATAAGCTCTACTTGAAAGTCATGTATAAATTATAGAATTTGCATGTGGTCACTAATATTAAAATCTATCCATGTAATTATAATTATGTCAATATGAATATACACAATCTATAAATGTATGTGCTTGCATATACACATAAGCACATGTAAGTTGACATGTACACGTGCATATATATATGTGTATTTCAAATTTTTATAAGCACATAAAAATAATCAAGCTATTACTGAGCTGAGCACAATTGAGCAAGCACTTGCTCGTGTTAGGTTCATCAAGTCAAGCTTGACCTAATTATCAAGCCAACTACATATAACAAGCTTTTTTTTTCTGTGGTGGGGTTTGATGTCCTTGTGTTGGTGCTTGGATTTATACTTCATTTCTGACATGCTATATATTCTTGCTTTTCTTTTTTGAGCCATTCTTTGCAAATTGCGCCACCAGAAGTGCCAAATTTGGACCTTGCACCCTTGTGTGGCGATTTTTGGCAAATGGGATTATTACAGTTTTCTTTTTAATTATCCTAGAGCAGAAGCTATTATCTATCGGCCTATTCACTCTATTTGTTTTTAATCGAGAAAAGTGTCAAAGTTCTCACTTTTTCCAGTTGATCGTTCTAGAGTTTATAAAATGTCAATTTAGTCCGCAACCTCTTGAATATTTAAGCTCCAATTAAAAAAAAATTAGGACTTATCGTTTTGTAAACTTTGGGACTAAAATGACACCATGACACTACTCATTTTTATCTTTTGCTAATACTCTTTTGTAAACTTTACATCAATGCTCATTTTTATCGAATGATACCATGGTGGCTGCAGGACCTTAGGAGGAAGCTTCCTGTTACTCGGACACTATTCCCATGGCAGAATACTTTGCAGTTCAGCTTAACCAGAGACATCTCAAGAGAACTTGGAATTGGAAAGTGAAGTTGTGACTCGGCCGTATGGTTGGAAATTCTTTTTATGCCTCTGCTTCTTACCCTCCTTTGTCATTGCCTTATATTGCTATATGATTGTTACTCTCTTTTTAGCAGTAAATATGTTCACCCTTCCATCTCCTCTTTTGCGCCTTGCATTATCATATTAAACTAGTTTTTTATTTTTTATTTTTTATTTTTCTTTGTAAAGGAATATTTTTGTTTGCCGATACGCTTGATTTTTCCACATCTTTTTTCCCCCTCTATCTTGAGTTCATGTCTACTGCCTTAAAATTGCTTTAGGCTTTGTTTGGTTTGCTGCATTAGAGTTGTAAAATAAATCAAGTACATGGGTTTAAAAAACTCCTGTGTTTTGTTGGATGAAAATGGAATGCCAACAGCCAGCCTCTCGTTGACACATGCAGTCAACTGCCTTGGTTGATGTTTCTTGAGTTCATAACCTAAATGGAAGTCCCCCTAACGAAGAACTCCATTGTCATATCATGTGATCTGCTGTTTCGCCTTGGTTGATGATGCTTTTCTGACGGATTTACATGCCCAGCTTATAATTTTTCTCTATTTAGGTTATGTTTATACAATATTTCAGTTTTTTCACATCAATATCTATAAAAAAAGATGCATAATCCATTTTACGAAATTAGTCAGGTACATGTTTTAATGTAATGCAAAGATTAGCATGCTTATTAAAAGGAGCATTTAAATATTAAACACGTAAACTTTAATTTTTAAATTTATGACTATGGTTTAAAAATATATTAAATAACTATGTTTTAAAAATAATAGTTAAAAAAAAAGGAAAATGAAATTATTTTTAAAAAACTCCTACCTTTTGGGATGTTTTTCTTGTCGTGAGAAACAATTTTCTGAATTTCTACTAATGTGGTTTGATTGAAACAAATTTCTAAAAATGAGAGATCTGTTGAATCTTGAACTGCCCATCTATTACATGTGGTTTGATTGTACAAATCAATTGCTAACTTAGAGCTCTCAATTTTAATGATCAAGCATGACGGTAGTTGGTGGTGGGGTATGGAAAGGGGGTCCCTTCTGTTTGGGTTTGGGGGTGCTGCCTCCGATTTTTTTTTGTTTTAGTACATTGCGTCGTAGTGCCCAATCTAAGTTCAAATTTGAGAGCACTACATTGTATTGCTCCGATGCAGCTTTGAACCGCCACTATCGCGTCATCCTGGTTCGGGTCTATTTTAATTAAAGTCTTAATTTTACAAATGGAGTATGGAATTTTGAATTCACCTGAGCAATGAGTTGATTGTGAGTGCCCTCATGTGTTTAGGGTTCGTTTGGGACAGCTTATAAGTGCGGGAGGCGTTTTTAAAATGCCGTCGTAAACACTGCCTTACCGTTTGGTTCACGCATTTCATCAGTTTATCTAAGACTACGTATGGGTTTTTATACTAAAAGCAGACCGCAGGTCGTACCCAGTGGTCGGCCCGCGGGCCACGTTTTAGGATAAGCAGCTTATCTTAAATGCACAATTTGCCCCAAACAGACTCTAAGTGTGTAGAGAAGCTTGATTGGTGGTATTTGTACGAATGTCTTTTTTTTTTTTTCATAGCGAGTTTATTGGTGGGGTGTGGTTCTATGATTTTGTCTTATTTTCAGGTTTTTTTTTTTTACGTTAAATCATGTGTTTTTTTTGTTTGTATACTTCTGTTCAAAATTATACTTCGAATCTCTCGAATCGGTTTCTATTATTTAATTCTCATTCCCAACATGTTCATGGGCTCATACAATATAGATGAGCCAATAAAGAAAATAGAATGCACTTTTTTTTTTTCTAGAGAAGGAGGTGAGAGAAAGAGTCTGAAAGAGAGAGTCCAAGTCAGAATCTTTGTGATGGTGGTGGAAGATCATCCCAATATATAGGGTTATAGGTGACATCTCTTATTTGTTAGACTATAAAGAAATAATAATAAATGATTTTAGTACAGCAAGATGTATGTAGCTTAACAAGGTCATACTCATGTGATAGTGAATGGTAAGTGGCCCATAATTACATGTAGACATACATTTTCCCCTATTAATAGCAAATATTCTCTAATTGGTACTCAGTAGTGAGTAATTATCAGATCAATTCAACATGTCAACCTGATAGATGGTACATTGTAGCTAGTACTCAACAAATCAGTGTGGCATTTCAACATGGTAGCTGGTGCATGTTAGCTAGTACTCGACGGAGCGGTTTGGCAGTTCAACATGGCTAGTCAACTCGATAGCCAGTACATGTCGACTAGTTCTCAATACGTCATTTCAAAAGGTCAACCTGACTAATCAACTCTATAGTTGGTACATTCTTTGAAAAAAAAAGGTTATATAGGCCCTTGAAGCCTGTTAACACCTTTTCTTGGCCCATGACGAACATTTATTGGTACACAAGTACAATGTTTGTCCATACATTCTAATGATTTCAGATTAATATGTCGTAGAGAATGGGTGACCCGTAATTAGATGTAGACATACTTTCTTTCTCCATTAATAGATAATACTCTACAATTGGTACCTGATAATGAGTACTGAACATATTCGTAGTTACGCAGTTATTTACTTTCTTGGCCAAAAAATTGACTCGATTTCTTTAGCCAGCTAGTCTGCAAAATTGATATGTTATATAGTTTAGAATTTGATTTATAGATTATAGACTAGAGGTTCTACGCAAGTATACATATCGTTCAAGTAATATAGAGCTCTAATGGTGTCCCGATTATTGATCACACAGGGAAGCGAGGTAAGAAATCCTCTAAGCTAAGTTCTAGTCTACTACTATCAGATCTTAATTTGGAATTTTGATTAAGGATATTTTTGTAACAACTTCTCCTAAACACAAATCTAAACCTAAAGTTAAACCTAACTAGATAAATTGGTTTGGTGAATTTTGAGGTGTAAAAAATTACATTTCTCTTGTGGTGACCTAAATAATGTGTGGGAATGGGATGCTTAGAATCTAATGTGGCCAGTGACAATTGGAGCAAAAATCTTAATTACCCTCTTTCAAGTGTATAACATAGCTCAGTTAACTTTAGGTTGATTCCTTAAAATAACTAGATTATCACGACAAAACTTCTAGCATGTCATCCTAAAGTCTCCTTCTCCTAATAAACCCTCTAATTAGCTTAATCTTAGATTTAAGATATGAAGCTCTAGATCAAATTGGTTATGAATCTAGGCTATCACCCTAGAAACACCAATTTGCACCTATCAACGAATATCTCCCTAACATTGCATTGAATCTTAGGACTACTTTTCCTTCACCCATAAGTTCAATGTGGTTCCTCCTAGTTGTTAAAGTCATAACTCTCACTCTCTCAGAACTTATGAGTTTACAACAAATTTTAACATACCAATTGGTCAGATTAATTAGTAAATGAAGCATGAAGTAAGAATCATCACTATGATATGAAAAACTTATTCTAACATGCATCCTAACATTCTAAACATTCATTCAATCATTGCAAAAGAAAATTATAAGAATTCTACTTTACAAAGCAAGTGTCAGACACAACATAAAACATCATTAAATCAAAGCAAATTCACTATGTAAGTGTTTACAACAAGTACAAGACAATGAAGAATACAATATTTAGTTTTTTTCTCTTTGAAAGAAATAAGAAATTACCTCCAGCAAAGGCTCTCGGTGATCCATGCAATGCTAATACAATTTCTTACAAGTATCTCTCAAAATTTTCTCACCTATCTCTCTAGAAAAGATAAAAATCTACATTTTCTACTTTTATCTACAACCTCTCGGCTTTTCTGGAGAATTTCAGGACTTATAAATGTCAAAAAGTGTTTTTTTTTCAAATGTCTAGATCCGTCAAATAACTCCTTGGGGTGTGAAAAAAACACCCCTATACAGTTCGCGTGCTTAGGCGTCGTTTGTTGTGTCGTCTTCTATGTTTTCTGGGCGGGGACTGTCGTCTAGGTGCCACCCTGCCGGCAACACGCCCATTTGCTCCTATTTGTCTCTATTTTGCCCTGTTTCAGCTCCAATCTGCTCCAAATGTTATACCTACAAGATAAATATAAAAATAATATTCTTTAAAGTGTATTTTCATTCAGAAACATGTGATAAACGTAAAGGAAATTAATCATAAAAAGGACCTCAAAATCTCTCAAATTTAAACGTCATTTATCTTCTAACATGCATCCTAACATTCTAAACATTCATTCAATCATTGCAAAAGAAAATTATAAGAATTCTACTTTACAAAGCAAGTGTCAGACACAACATAAAACATCATTAAATCAAAGCAAATTCACTATGTAAGTGTTTACAACAAGTACAAGACAATGAAGAATACAATATTTAGTTTTTTTTCTCTTTGAAAGAAATAAGAAATTACCTCCAGCAAAGGCTCTCGGTGATCCATGCAATGCTAATACAATTTCTTACAAGTATCTCTCAAAATTTTCTCACCTATCTCTCTAGAAAAGATAAAAATCTACATTTTCTACTTTTATCTACAACCTCTCGGCTTTTCTGGAGAATTTCAGGACTTATAAATGTCAAAAAGTGTTTTTTTTTCAAATGTCTAGATCCGTCAAATAACTCCTTGGGGTGTGAAAAAAACACCCCTATACAGTTCGCGTGCTTAGGCGTCGTTTGTTGTGTCGTCTTCTATGTTTTCTGGGCGGGGACTGTCGTCTAGGTGCCACCCTGCCGGCAACACGCCCATTTGCTCCTATTTGTCTCTATTTTGCCCTGTTTCAGCTCCAATCTGCTCCAAATGTTATACATACAAGATAAATATAAAAATAATATTCTTTAAAATGTATTTTCATTCAGAAACATATGATAAACGTAAAGGAAATTAATCATAAAAAAAGACCTCAAAATCTCTCAAATTTAAACGTCATTTATCCTCAAGTAACACTATAACTTTAAAAACTAAATTTGTTGATTTGAGGTTGTAGGTTTTAGTAGAGTTTCCTATAATTTTGTCTCAGAAATGTTATACTATAACTTAGGAGAAATTCTAGCAAATCAACCTAGGAGTAGACTGTAAGAATATCTCATATTCAACTTAGGAATCCTAATTTTTTATTTACTTCAAAAGTTATTGAAATTTGTCAAACTAAAGACTCTTAGAAAGTTTAAAAAAAAATTTATCAATGCCAATTTGACCAATGTTTTTTTTTTATAAAAAATAAGTTTAGGATTGTTTCTAAATCTTCTTTTTTAAAAAGATTCAAGATAAATTAATTTTTTATTAGGCTTCTCCTCAAGT